ATAGCAAGGTTACAGACCTTAACAATCTTACCATGAACATACATTAGGGTGAGTTACAATACAATCAAAAGACAATAAGATATTCTCATGATCTGTGGGGTGTGAACAATTTCACAATTCTAAACTCTTTTCCTTTATTCCCTACCTGGGGCTCAATGCCCTTTGAAACTTTATATTTCTTGCTTAAAGTCCAAAGTTCTGAAATCTGTGAAGTTCTGAAATCAGGTTTGTAATATCATACATAGTCTTTGAATGTTAACTGAAAAGTCTTTTGTCCATGTCTCGTTTAAGCATTGTGAAGGGTCTCTGCCACTCACTCCGGTTTATACCAGTATCCAACTGTCCTAAATGGGTCCTTTTTCCCGATGGGAAACCTGGCAAAACAGTTTTGTGAGTATAGATGTGGCAAGAAGGCAAGCTGTTTGTTGTCTGGTTCTTAGTCTGTTCTGGAATGAGCACTCATGGATTCAGAGAGGTGGATGTGGTCTGCCTGTAGGGAAGCTGGGGCTCTGGAAAGCATCGTAAAACTGGAACTGGGTATCTCCTATCCTCTGCCGGCTATAGGTCAGATGTCCTCAAGGTTCAGGAACACAGGTTCAGTGTTTCACTCCAGCTGGTTCAGATGGTCTCCCAAGGACTCCGGTCCAATTCCTCTCTGCTCCATACATCTCACCAACTGCTCCAGTAACCAGCATGCCTCGTTCTCCACCTTCGAGGAAACACAGGCATGCCCTCGACTCCAAATAATTACAGGGTCTGGTCCCCTCCATTGATCTGTCCATTTGACCTGAGCAAAATTTGCTCCAGTTCTGTCATGCCAGAAGCTGTCTGTAGCAGATTGTTCACTGGCATCCACATTTAAAAAGTTTAAGATAAACAGTGCGTGGTTGAAAGCATCATGTGGAGACTGGGGGTATAGCTCCCCCCTTTTTATCTTAGAAGCTGTGTTTTTAAGGAGCTATGAGCATGTTCTAAAATTTCTTGTCGTGGAGGATCACAAGGAATATCTATCTGTCTTTTGATCATTTTCTCAATGAGTACAAAATAACTGACATGCCTTATTTTAATATCTATCTCTATTGTCTGTCTTTATAATTTTTGGGACTCCCATGTAAGCAAAAACATCTTAAAACAGTGACTAATAACATCAAGAAATCTGAATACGTGTCAATTGCCAATTTTTTTACCTTGCCAAACTCTGCAATGAGTAACATCTATTTGCCATACATGGTTTGGGAGTAGACCTCGAGGATTCACCCCTAAATTAGCTGTAGGTAGATATTATGGACATATTCCACATTGTTTGATGATTTGACCAGCAGTCTCTCTGGTTAAGCCAGATTGCTTTCTCAGACTTTTGCTATTTTGATGAAGAAAGTTACAAGACTATAGAGCTTTCTCTATTTAAGGCAAATTAACCAATTTTGTTAATTAATCTGTTGAATCATTTCATTTGGCTAGTAATCAGGGAAAGGCCTTATTTAATAGGTTCCCAGTGTGACCCCTAAACCATGGCAATTTTCTTAGGTGAATAACATTTTGAATTTGCTCAAATATTATTCTAACCTGATTATTACTAGATCCTCTGCATAGAACTGTCTCTATTATCTGAAGAGTTTTAAAGATATAGTGACTGTCAGTATATAAATTACACTAATTATTTACTAGGAGCTGAAAGACCATTGCAACAGCTCATAATTTGACTATTTGAGCTGAAGCCAGAGCTGTCTGTTCCACCTATTCCTTTCCATCAATAACATATGCAAGCGGCTCTCCCATTAGAATCATCAGTAAAAACTAACATAGCATTTTTTTATAGGACTGCTTTTTACAATTTTGGGGAATATAAGGATGTATCAGGGTAAATTGTAACAGCCTATAAGCTGCAAACTGATTATCAATTTTTCCTGAAAACAGAGCATAGGCAATTGCCCATGAATCATTGTTCTGAAAGAGTCTACCTGTTGATTGGAATAAGGAACATGTATCATATTTGGTTCTCTCTTAAAATACCTCCTAGAATCCACATGGCATTTCTGTAGCATGCAGGCTACTGCTTTAAAATAAGGGTTTAATACTTTGGATGGTGAGACAGGTAGGTGTATCCACCATAATGGTTCCTTCTGCCATAGAACAGAAGTCGGACTATGCTTTGTGGGGAGCACATAAGCTTCTAATATTTTGCATAGTCAATATAATATATCTGTTGATGGTGAATCGCCTCCTCTAATTATAGAAGGACTTGCCTACCTTCTTAGCTAGCTGTCTGGATAAATTAGGATCACTACCTCCTTATAGAATCTTATTTAAAGGATTTAAATCATCATTAGATGTCCCCCCAAAAAGGTACTCAACCATTGAATATTTTTTAACAACTTCTAAAAAACTCACTCAAAGATTGTAAGCTATCTTTTCTAATTGCTATTAAGCCTTAATTTCTTTAGATGCAACGTATGTGCCAAACAATTTTTGAGAATTACTTAAAGTTTCTAAGTAGCCTTTTCTAAGCTAAACTTTGGAAGTTGACAAGCTGATAAGACCTCATTTGCATCTTAGCTGACCTGGCCTAATTTACATTTGCATAGACACATTCAGGTTGTGAATCTAGCAGGGTGGCTCTTTCCTGAGGCTTCTTCTCATAACCCTTTTAAAAATCATGTATCAACTTTTACTTTCTAGATTTTCCTTTTTAAGCATAAAAATTTAGGAAGATCTGTATCCTCTCCTCTGCCAAATTTTACAGAATCATCCACAGATTTCTCATGCCCCTAAGCTAAGGCTATAGACTTTTGCTATCTTTTTCATTGACTATCTCCTAGGGCTCAAATCATTAATTTTTCCTGTTAAGATATTTACTGACTGACTGACTGGATCCTCTTTTTGACTATATTAAAGCGATTTTGATATTTTTTTAAACTGCATCCGAGGCAATGTAAACATCTCTCTAATCTTATCCAAGACAATTTAGGCATTTCCATTTGTCTGCTTTCATAAATTCATATTCACACCATGCATCAGGTGTGGCCACACCCATCATTCATAACTTGAGTAAGTCTCACATTTCTCCTTTTGCCTAGGTTATGATCAGTTTGTTGAAAAGAAAAATCCTTAATTGAAATTTCTCCTAACATAGTAGCTATAGTCAATCCTTGAAATATGAGCATCCAATAATTTGAGCAGATCTAAGCTTAAATATGTTGCCCTTTCTTCTCTATAAGGTCTTAAAAACAGTTTCTGACTGTCTGCGTCAATAGCATTACATACATTTGACTAGCATCAGCCACTGCAGCAGTTCCCAAGGCTGCAAGTTACCAAGAGGAGGTCCAGGCTGTCTGCCGCCCTGTTAGCCATTTTGTTCAGCCTGCCACAGACATTGGCCTGAGGTGGCATCGAGCTGCTGGCTGAGGGCCAGTAGACTGCCAGAATTGACCTTGGCCTTAGCTTGACTTTGGCCTCCGGGCAACTGGAAAATTTGTGGCTGTATTTCAGGCACAAGCCTGATCCCCTATTTTCTCTTTTGTTGGGACTCTGTCTGACCCTGTGTCCTTCCTGAACACGTCTAAAGCAACCTCTAGAAGGCTCTGTGCATTTCTTCCTCCCTATGCCTTGCTTTCTCTGTAGGAATAACATATTTTTTAAAAAAGTTCCTGTACGGCAGTCACCATTGCTAATCCCTGAGTGTAAGCTAGGTCCAATATCTGAAAAAATCTTAATGAACTCTCCTATGTAAGTCATCTTCCTGTGAGGCCTGGCATGTAGTATCAACATTCTCATAAGCTAGCTGTTTCACAATCAAAGTTCCAACACCGTGTCTCTAACCTTTTTGGATTATGTCCACACAGGCCTAGAAACAAATTCTGAACTAACTCCCTAGGTCCTTGCCTGCCCTCTATAACAAATATTCTCCTCCTGATCAGCAGGCCTTGGCTACCCGATCTCAATTTCCTAGGGGTGAGGCTTCTACAGCGATATTCCTTATCAGCCTCTGGGTAAAAACTGCTGTTTGTCCATATTGGACACAAGCCATCTTTAGTTCCTTTAGCTGTTTGAATGGTATTGGCATATGCATCCTGGATATGTTCCCCTGAGCCTTTCTCTCTCTGATCTGAGGAAACTTATAAATTTCCCTTCTTCTGTGAGAGCGATTTAGCTAAATCTTTCAAGCCTCTTAGCTCATGCTGAGTTTTACCACTGAGTATTTACCTTTCTGTATTCCCAGTTTAAAATGAAGGAGGTGAAGACTCCCTCCATCTTGGTACTTATTAACTCTCTCTTCCTGCTCATCCCAATCATTTGTCCTGTATATTCTTTACCATCCAGCCACCCCTTAGTAGGCGAGGAGTTTTCGGTTCTCTATTACATTCTCCTGTGATCCTGCATGTATGCAAGGCTGAACCTATGTCTTCCCAAGCCCCAGTGCAACTTGAAATGCTGACAGAGTCATGGTGGTGGCTTTTGCAAGATCCTTTTAAAACTCTTAAACTCTAGAATCTCTGTACTTGCGTTTGCTTTGTTTCAGCTCTCCTGGCTATTAAACTATACCCAATTAAATAAATATATAATCATCTGACTAACAATTATCTGCCTGATTTCTCTAACTATATAAATGCTTACTTTCATGGCTAACTTACTTCTCTTTACCATCTAGCTAATATTCTTGTTTCATATTTACAATTGCCTGCATTTTTCTCTCCGGAGTTTAACTCATTACATTTACTTCCTTATCATCTGACTCACATTTCAGTCTCATATCTACTTTGTGCACCTTCTCTTACTTTAAGGGTTAAATAACCCGCTTTATCTTTTTTTGTCAGCTGCTGGCTGACATTTTTGTCTTATATATACTTTTGTGCACATTTCTGCTTTAAGAGTTAAATAACCCAAAATACCTTTCTTTGTCAGCTTTTGGCTGAGGTCTTCCTATTTTATATTACAAATATCTGTTTCCTAATTCTACAATTATATACAGTTTTATTCCTGACTTAACGCTGTTCACTCACCAGATTCGGCCACTTCTTTTTTTCTGGGCTTCTGCAGACTGATTTGACTACAAAGACTATATCTTCGAAGTGTCCGCGCCTCTGCCTTGTTCACTGCTTCTTTGGTGTCCCTTTCTTCGTGGTGTCCATGGCTTCTTCTCAGGCCCCACATTCGGGCACCATTTTGTCGTCTGGAATGTCTCAGCCCCAAGCCACAGTAGCCATGAGGTTCAGCCTAAGTGGGGGAGCGTGGACTTGGAAACTCCTAGCAACCTAATGTCGATAAAGACCAAACACAGGCATCTTATCGTCTTTAGAGAGCTCTCAGTTCCATGCTGCAAAACTGGAGTCTCTTGTTTATTCAGCATGTTCTTGGGCTGTTTTCTAACCATGCTCCCATGGCCACAAGGTCATTTCTCTCTCCTTCAGTTGACTCTCCTCACCCACTAGCTCTTAACTCTCTCCTTACTTGTTACTTACACACCTAACTTCCACCCAGGTGCAGGCCTATTCAAATGCTTAGTCCTGTAGAGATGCAAACGAGGGGACATTCTCCACTGAGGCCATGACATTCATTAGCAGATTGGCTCGAATCTGCAATACAATTGTAGGTTTGTACCTCGAGATATTTCTTAATGGTATTTCCTGGCCCTCGACAGTTGTAGGTGAAACCTATCCCTAAATATTGAAGGTCTAAGAGAAATATATGTATTTTTCTGAGAAAATGCAAATTGATTCAGATTTCATAAATGCATGACCATTCTGTGCTGGACAAGAACTCATAGTGAATCCTGAAGCTCAGCCATCTTATATTTTCCTTTGTCACGCTGGGTATGGGATCTGGGGTCTCATGCATCCTAGATAAGCACTCTGCCATCTGGACACACTACTCTCTCCTACTTTGAGTCATGTCACTTTGAGTCATGTTAATTTTTTAGTTTGTGTCATTCAAAGTCATCTTTGATAAATCTGAAAATATGGCTTTGAAAGAAAAGGAAAAGGATAGCTTTGTCTGGCACAGGTTTAAAACATTTTGTAAAGCCATAATAATTAGAATGATATGACCTAGATGACACATTAGAGTGATATGACATAGATTGACAGAATTAGGTATATTTATTGATCTAATTGTATATGCAAAAAGATCAATGCTCGATTGAGCATTCTCATGGTTAAAATAAATTTTTGTGAAAGTTTTCTAGGAATATTAGGTAGCTGTTAGCAAAAAAAAATTAAAGAGTTTTATTTCATAAAATACTTAAAGAATAAAAGATTTGTATGGATAAGTGATCATAGGGAGTCATCTAAAACAAAAGAATGATAGATGTTTGGTCGATATGTGAAATATATTATACAATATATATTATGTTTAATATATGTTTAATATATGAAATATATTAAACAAAAATATGAAATGTCTTAATTCCAGAGCAGGGGTGAACTGCTGGCATAGGAGTTCTGGGTTGGGTCATGTGTAGAGAAGCTACATTACAAAAAGAGCTACTGAAGTGTGGAGTAATACTGAGAACATTAGATTTGCATTATGAAAATCACACAGCTGTGATGTAATGAAGATACCCTGTTGACCAGACGAACCTCTGCACATCACTAGGCCAGGAAAGACCAATCCTTTAAAAACGGGTAGAGGATGATTCCTGGTATCAAGCTCTGGCTTCCATTTACATTAATACACAAATATATGTTCACACAGCCACACAAGCCTGTCTCTACCCATGTGAAAAGAACTTATATACCCATGTTCAAAAGACACCACAACTACACACACACACACACACACACACACACACACGAAAAAGAAATCTAGTATATACTATGACACATTAATGTAAAAAAAAGAGAATGTAATAATACATATTTTAACAAAAAGATTCTACAGAAACATGACTTTTATAATATCCAAATATACAAATACATCATATATTTTCTATGTGTTTACATACTAATGGTTTCAATGCAAATGTTTCTGTTCACATGGTAGAAAAGTCATTTTGTCACCTTGATTTATCCATTTTGAGTTTGAGAGCCTTTCTTTCATTTTATCCTAACAGATAAAATTTGGGATTTTTTACAATTAATAATACATGCATTTAATGATCCTATGATATTAGGAGGTAGATCTGTCACATTTTTCCTGGAATATATATCTATATACCTGTAGATATATAGACATTAATATAGATATTACTGAAAAAATATATTAAAATTTCCCTTGCTGGGCGGTGGTGGTGCATGCCTTTAATCCCAGCACTCAGGAGGCAGAGGCAGGTGGATCTCTTTGAGTTCGAGACCAGCCTGGTCTCCAGAGCAAGTGCCAGGATAGGCTCCAAAGCTACACAGAGAAACCCTGTCTCAAAAAACTGAAAAAAAATTTCCCTCAGTAAACTTTCTGTTTATTGTCTATCTTTAAGTTTATTAAACACTGTATTGAATAGTGCTACATTCAAATTTAAGGTATTTATAAGTATATCTGCATAGTAAATATTTAGAAGTACAATTTGGAGTGAAATATGAATGCAATTTAATTTATTACCACATTATAATATATATATTTCAAAGTGTGTTTCTGTCATAGCATACTTATCAACATATCTGAAAATATGCTTAGTTGCTGTTTAAAGTGAATTTTTTAAACATGATTAAAGTTGATAGTCTTTAAAAGTATTCATTTCCCTTTCTTTAAAAATTACCTGTTGGCAAAATTACTGGTTTGCTTTTTTTTATTTATTCAAAATTTTTTTTTTGTCAGGTGAAACTCTGTGTGCATTATAACCATATATTTCTGTCTACCTCTGTTGTGGGATAACCTTTTTGTACACTGTGGAGATGTGTCTTTGCCAAGGTGGCTTCTGATTGGTTTAATACAAAGCTAAATGGCCATTAGCCAGGGAGGAGGTATAGGTTGGGGAGCCAGAGAGAACTCTGGGAAGAAGAGAGGAGTTGCCAGACAGACGGAGAGCATGGGAAGTATATAGTAAAGGTAATAAAACCACTAGACAAAATGTAGATTGATAAAAATAGGTTAATTTAAGGTGTAGGAGCTAGTTAGAAACAAGCCTCAGCTATCAGCTGAGCTTTCATAATTAATAAGAAATCTCCATGTGATTATTTGGGAGCTGGCTGGTGGGACAGAAAAATCTGTCTAGATTCTTCATCCTGTCATTTATTTCTTTTTGTTCTTCATTCCTATTTTTATATTTATTCTATTAATTTGTTTAAAATGTATACTATTGACTTATATTCAGTGTACACAGTTATGGATCTCATGAAGATAGCTTCTGCCATGTGCATTATGTATTTGGCTAAGCCAGCTTTCATGCCCCTCTCTCTTCATCTTCTTCCCTGTCCCTCTAGTTTCCCTCTTTCTCCCGGTGTTGTATCTGATTCCACATCAGGCACATTTTATTTTATTTCTGTATGTAGTGAATTACTTCAAAAGTCTACCACTCTATGATTTTATTTTACCTTTCCCTGTATAACATCTTTCATTGAAAAGAATGTATAACATTCCCCTGTATCAATGAATCATTATTTGTTGAGCTCATCCCTTGTCAGTGCTTAGTTTAGTTTTGGTGTGATCCCAGTTGGACTTTATTATAAAGAATATCCATGTATCTCACATTTATTATTTTTACTCATGCCTATTTCTTCTGATATATCATTTTATACAGTACTTTCTGTATCAATATCTTTCTTGTTTTTTATTCCTCCAGGAACATAGTAACCTTTTCCTGGTAACCTTTTATTGGTTTACATAGTAAACTTTTACTATCAAAAAGTGGATGAATGGCCTCAGTTCAGGTTTTTTCTTAATATTTATTTTTAACTATGTGTATGTATATGTATTTGCATGTGGGTATATGCATATGAGTGAAGATGCCCACAAGGGGCAGAAGAAGAAGGTGAATGAATCCCTTGGAACTCGAGTTACAGGCAATTCTGAACTGCTTGATATATGTACTGGGAACTGAGTTCATGTCCTCTTCAAGGTAGAGTGTGCTCCTTTTGTAAGTACCTATTCTTTATTTTTTGAGATTAATTATATCATTTCCCCTTCTTGTTCCTCTCTCTACCCTTCTTACATATCTCCCATTGTTCTTTCAAATTCATGCTATTTCTTTAATTACTTTTACACATATATGTGTCCTAAATATGTAAGTTCTACCTGCTCAGTCCATAGAGAGTCACAAGTATGTAGACACTGGTAACTTCCAAATGATCTCTCAGCTCCAGGATTCCAGTTCTTGACTGCAATGTTAATGCTGCCTTGTTAGTTGTAAACTGTAATTTTAATCATAAAGGTTTATAGTTATATTCACTTGTCATCCCCTATTAATTGCATTATTTATTCCCAGTTTTCTCTTCTTTTTTTGGTACTTTCTCTAAACTTCCTTTGTTTTCTGTTTTTCTAACAACTGAAGGCAGGAGAGAAAGGCAAAGAAATGGTAGACAAAGTCTGAAACAAGAAATTCAGTTTCTGTCAGTGTGGTTAGGAAGACTGCTTTTTCCCCTAAAGCTGCTCTTTTTCCAACATCCAGATAGCAACATCATCTAAATTACCTGTGCTTACTCCCACAGCCCATTTAAACTTCTATTGTCTTTGGTATGCATTAGTCTGAGGGAAAATGGGCTACGTCTGTGAGGCTCTGACTTCCTGTCACATTTTATGACTCTATCATCCTAGGGTGTCTGCAAGAGGGGGCATTTCTACCTTTCTCCACTGAATCACCCTCATCACTTTGCAGTGCAAAGCTTCAAGCTGACAGATTGGAGACTTGTCTGTCCTCCAAAGACTGCAGTGGTAAAGCCACTCCTGAAAGATCATACCCTTGCTAATTACAGTACTAACATCTATTAACTTTTTCATTCATTGCCAATTTTTATTCATTTCTTAAGGCTAATACTAATTGCAACTTTAAAACAATAATAATGCTAAATAGGGCAAGCAATTTGGGAACCAAAACAGTGTATTACCCTCCTCAGACATAGGTTCATTATACACACACAGGAGGGCAAAACAGTGCCTGAAGAGCTAGCATTGCAAAAGTATTTTTTAATTTATATTTGTTTTAGGGTTATTGAACATACCTTTTTAACCTATAAAGTGAGAGTTTGAGGATAATCAACTTGGCAAACAGTCTCAATGGGAAATTT